AGCCCTGGANGGGGTTGACCACTCGACTGACTCACTCGAGTTCACCAAGGGAGAGATCTGTTCTCGAATTTATATTGTATAAGATCCAGCACGCACACATATATACTTCCAGTCCTTTCCCACACCCATTTACAAATTACAAGATTTAGTTTGATTTGGAGGTAGCCAATTGCCTTGATGTGGTGACATTAAGCAATCGAAGGGTTCTTTTATATTTTTCATTTTTTCTTCCTAGCTATCTAATTTTCTCAAGTTACCGTAGTTGGCGNGAGTTGACCACTCGACTGACTCACTCGAGTTCACCAAGGGAGAGATCTATTTTTGTATTTATATTGTACAAGATCCAGCACGCACACATATATACTTCCAGTCCTTTCCCACACCCATTTACAAATTACAAGATTTAGTTTGATTTGGAGGTAGCCAATTGCCTTGATGTGGTGACATTAAGCAATCGAAGGGTTCTTTTATATTTTTCATTTTTTCTTCCTAGCTATCTAATTTTCTCAAGTTACCGTAGTTGGCGAAATACTCACAATTTTACTATTGCAAAGTTCTAATAAACAGTCCATCACACACAATCACCTACACTCTGAAGACGTTGGCTATAAAACCATTTTAATTTTGATACAGGTGAATGTTAATAAATCCTCCAAATAAGAAAGTCAATAAGCATGATGTATGATTGAGCAATGTAACACGAACCTTATTTAATGACTTTATTGGGTGATCTTATAATTTTCTGTCATTAGATTCACAATGAATTTCACTAATTCAATGGTTATTATCCATCATGTTTCCAAATTAGGTACAAATAGCATTTCCTTTTATGATTTGTTTATCTAGTATTTTGGATCCAAAATTTATATTTATCTTAGAACATCTTTAATCTTAACTCAAATTTGAGTTATCATTTGAATAAAAATTTTAATTTGATACNCTTTATTTAATGACTTTATTGGGTGATCTTATAATTTTTTGTCATTAGATTCACAATGAATTTCACTAATTCAATGGTTATTATCCATCATGTTACCAAATTAGGTACAAATAGCATTTCCTTTTATGATTTGTTTATCTAGTATTTTGGATCCAAAATTTATATTTATCTTAGAACATCTTTAATCTTAACTCAAATTTGAGTTATCATTTGAATAAAAATTTTAATTTGATACAAACATTTCAATGAAAAATTCAAATTTAAATGAGAACAAACTCAAATATAAAGGAGGTTAGTATATGACCATTAAATTCGTGATTGAGAATAAAATCTAACCATTAGCAATTTGAGAAAAGATTTAAGTCTCCTTAATTTGGTATGAGTTTGGATAATGAATTGGTCCGTTTAGCATGGTGGATAAAAAAATGAAAGGATGAAAAGTGGGAGTGATATATTTTCTATATTTTAAAAGAGGNCATGGTGGATAAAAAAAATGAAAGGATGAAAAGTGGGAGTGATATATTTTCTATATTTTAAAAGAGGAATATTTCATTCCCTCATTTGTGCTTGATAAGAGATGAAAAGTTTGAAGGATTGATTTTTTTTTTTTGTATTTGGTAAGAGAGAAAAAGAAAAAAGAAAAAAAAAGGAACATTTAACCTTTCAAGGTGCTTGATTGCACCTACTGATTATACATAGAATTTAAGTGGGTCATATATATATGTGTGTGTGTGTGTTGTTACACATTATTTGGACTTGTATCAACTATTTTCTCAAACTCAATAGTTGATCACCATAATTTGAATTAGCCTAAAACTTGTCCCTTTGGAGACAAGAATGACTAGTTTTTAAGTGATGTAAAAAACAATTAAAGTTAAAACATTTGAGTTACTAGATCCACCGCACTACCCTAAGGGACTTTTTGGTAAGGGGTATAGGGTGCTTGATAAGATGAATTTAGGAAAAATAATCCAAAGGACCCCCTAAATCTCATATTTAGATCGAAAATTCAATCCCGGGTTCTTAAACCCGGCCCGTAACTACCCTGAAGATTAANAAACAATTAAAGTTAAAACATTTGAGTTACTAGATCCACCGCATTACCCTAAGAGACTTTTTGGTAAGGGGTATAGGGTGCTTGATAAGATGAATTTAGGAAAAATAATCCAAAGGACCCCCTAAATCTCATATTTAGATCGAAAATTCAATCCCGGGTTCTTAAACCCGGCCCGTAACTACCCTGAAGATTAAACTCATGATTATGGGTTTAATGAAACCTATGGAGGGAGGGAGTTTGGGAATATGGGTTAAGGGGTTAAGAATGTAAAAATCAATTGTATCCCTTAATATGGGTATAAATTGAATTGATCAAGGGTAAAATAGTCATTTATAGGACAAATAATTGATAATAATTATGATATATCCGTAAGTTCTACGTGTGTACATGTTGCATACTAAACATGTGTATGGATCGGAATGAATGTTAAATCTCATCTTTGTAAAGAGATGTTTGAGTTTGANTTAAGGGTAAAATAGTCATTTACAGGACAAATAATTGTTAATAATTATGATATATCCGTAAGTCCTACATGTGTACATGTTGCATACTAAACATGGGTATGGATCGGAATGAATGTTAAATCTCATCTTTGTAAAGAGATGTTTGAGTTTGAAAGGGTTTGGAGAAGTCAATTCAAAGCCTTCCCCAAAATTCATCCAAACAAACCCTAAGAGCCTCTTTGGTATGTACATGAATATATGACTATTATGCATATTCAATGGTTGAAATTATCAAATCTAATTTTTAAGTTCATTTAACATTACTCTTTTTAAAAGGGGTTTGAATTTGTTTGTTCAAACCTTTTCAAACCCAAAAATGAGATTTAACATTTAATATTGTTTATACNTCCCCAAAATTCATCCAAACAAACCCTAAGAGCCTCTTTGGTATGTGCAGGAATATATGACTATTATGCATATTCAATGGTTGAGATTATCAAATCTAATTTTTAAGTTCATCTAACATTACTCTTTTTAAAAGGGGTTTGAATTTGCTTGTTCAAACCTTTTCAAACCCAAAAATGAGATTTAACATTTAATATTGTTTATACCTATATTTGGTATGTGCAGGGATATATAACTATTATGATAATATATTTATATATAAATGACTATTGTACCCCTTAACTAATATGGGGTATATAAGATATATGGATGATATAAATATCATTTGAATGTTATACACATTAACTCATATATGAAATCTCCCTCCCAATGGGTTTCATGAAACCCACAAACTTGAGTTTCACGACCGTNTATACCCCTTAACTAATATGAGGTATATAAGATATATGGATGATATAAATATCATTTGAATGTTAAACACATTAACTCATATATGAAACCTCCCTCCCAATGGGTTTCATGAAACCCACAAACTTGAGTTTCACGACCGTGTCAANTGTACCCCTTAACTAATATGGGGTATATAAGATATATGGATGATATAAATATCATTTGAATGTTATACACATTAACTCATATATGAAATCTCCCTCCCAATGGGTTTCATGAAACCCACAAACTTGAGTTTCACGACCGTGTCAAAACCGAGTTGAGTTGAGTTTCAAACTCTAGATTAAATGTGTATTTGTCAAATATGAGTTTGAGGGTGTTTATTCNAAAACCGAGTTGAGTTGAGTTTCAAACTCTAGATTAAATGTGTATTTGTCAAATATGAGTTTGAGGGTGTTTATTCCCCAATTCATGTTCCAAAACCCTCCCAATCCCACGGACCAAACTTGCCCTAAGGGTCTCAATTGTATTACCTGAAAAAAGGTTTAAGATTTCAATATACAACCCTACACCTCTTTTATTTAGTTCATATATATCCGAGAATATCATTTTTTAAATGTTGGAAAAAAAAGCTGTGATCTGTTCACAGTTGTTTATTTATTTGTTAGTTGTAACTATTCTGATTTCTTTAGCCATCATGATAACATAAAGGGTGTAAAATTATCAATCGAATCCCATTGCGTTATCTCAAAGTTAGACCATGCTTGAATCCCATTTATCACTTTTTTTATTGTATTAAATTATCGTGTCGAAAATTATTAGCCAAAGAGCAAACCACAAACGGCCAAGAAACTATGACCCTACTCCCGAGCGCAGCCAATATAGATTAAAACAATCTCCTTGACTCTAATGAGAAGTCTACGAGGCTATATCTTCACTGTACTCTTATGAAAGACAGAATAAATAAAGAGCAATACTCCGTGAATTTAAAAATTAAATTTAATAATTTCAATCATTAATTTCATATATATTCAATGATTAAAATTATCAAATTTAATTTTTAAGTCCATCTAGTATTACTCATAAATAAATAATAAAACTAAGGTTCTCTCAGCAGCATGGCTTGATCAAGCTTCACAAAAGTTTATCATTCAAAAAGAAACAACCACCGTCAGTTACATAGAGACAACCATTCATCTCGACATAAAGACACTCATTATAATATATGCACATATTATATTACAATAAGATCATTGATCAGCAATCACAGAGAGAAAAATAGAATAAACCCTACACCAGTTATATATGAAGCATATCAAAATAATTATAGCATCAGAGACACCACTTACATCCACAACCATTCATTCCATATCACTACTACCCCTATATACATATACCAACAACCCAGCCCCCACAACCCTTTGGACTGGTTACAAAATCATCAAAAGATCTTCTCATAGCCGTATGCTTTACCTTAGATGCTAATAGAATTACACGCTAATATAATAAGACAACTACTATTTTTTCCCCCTCTCCACTCATTGAACCCTTGACCAATCACCACTACAAAAAGATCAAGACAAGAAACTATTGATCAGTCTATGCCATGTTGATGATGATCATGATTTCTTTTCTCCATTTTTTTTCCTTCCGTGAGTAGAAGTGGGATCCATTATATATCGATGGGTCCTCACTAATACATGATAGTGGATCAGCCAAGATAGAAAAATGATGAAAAGGGTATTAGAGTGGATCTGGATGATGATCAGTACTGAAACATATCAGCAGAAGCCATGATGGGTTGGTTAAAAAACATCAAGTTCCATGGATTGTTCATGAAAATCTCAGGACTTGCCTGTAGATGCTCATTCTCAAACACCCCATTGTTGGTGTTCATGTAATTGAGGATATCATTGAGCGACTCAAGTCTCTGACTCAGTTCTATCACCTGAGCCCTCAAAACAGAGTTCTCAGCCTCAACATTCAGGTACTGCTGTGTGGTGATGTTCATGTTTGTGCGGATATGACTATTTTCCTTACTGAGTTGAGCCACTTGGACCGTCAGATCATCAAGATGCTTCTGTTTTCGCATCCTGGATCGCCTCGCCGATTCGCGGTTGGATTGCATTCTCTTCCTCTTCCTTTGGTCCATCAAATGCTGCAAGTCCTCTTCAGAACCAGAGTTCTGAATCTGAGTAGACACTGCTGAATTCCCACTAGAAGAAGCCATAGTATTTTTACACCAAAAAGCTTAAAAAAAAACCCTGATAAATACTAGTACTTCCCGATTGAAATAATCTTAAAAACAAGAAAGACGCAGGACCCAGATACTAGATCTAACTTCTAGATTCAAATAGCTATATATGGATATATGTAGGCATATATAAGATCAAGACAGCATGAGAAACAATTTCTGAGAAAACATAAAACCAGTAGAGGAACACAACAGAGAAAGATTGAACAAGATGGGTCCTGCGTCTGAAAGAGGAATTTATCATAAACCCTGAACGGAGAATTTCACTGAGAACTGGAGACATGAATCTCAAATATTACGAACAAGTCATGAAGTACCAAGATTTGGAGAGAGACGGGAAGAGAGTTTCATTTGCAGAGGAACAACCACAAATCTCAACAACAAAAAGTTGAAATTTTTGTTGCTAGTTTGGAGATCTCAACAGAGTAATCAGATGGGTTTCTGGTATTAAGTCCAAAACCCAAAAATCGGAGCTCAAAAAGAGATATAACCCACCAAAAGAAATCAGAGATCGGCACAAGAGAAATAGAGCTTTAGATCTAATAACAAGATCTTAGGGAATAGAGACAGAAGGAGAACAAGAGTGGGTTGAACGCCCAAGATCAATAGCGGTGGGAGAGAGAGATGAGGAAGGGGATTGAGAGGCTGCGGAGGCGCTGATTTATATAAAACAAAAAGGTTGGCAGGAAAATGAAAGTGCCAGAAACGGGCAGAGAAAAATATCTTAATGGGCGGAAAATAAAAGGAAAATTGGGATAACGTAAAACTTGCAATTCTAGATGCCACCAAACCAATACAGTACTATTAATTGACTTTAATTTTAATGAATTTTTCCAATAAATGTTTAGTTTTATCATACTTCTTTAATAAATAGATTAATGCAAAAATGATTAAATACAATGTACACAAATTGGATATAAATTAAATAAATTTTAGGATAAAAGTACACTTTTAATCCTAATATATACGTATTTGGTCTCCAATCTTTTAATTATATCTATTTGGTTCTTAAAGTTTTTAATTTGTGTCTATGTGATCTAATTTCAAACATCCGTAAAAAAATCATTAAAACCACTAATTACGCGCCAATCAAGTGAAATCAAATAAACACAAATTAGGAATTTTATGGACCAAATAGACACAAAATTTAGAACTATATGATTGACGTGACTAGAACAGTCACGATTTTCTGATGAACATTTGAAATTTGATCACGTAGATACAAATTAAAAATTTTATGGACCGAATAGATATAATTGAAAGATTAAGAATCAAATAAATACTAAATGCATACTTTGAAAACTAAAAGTGTATTTTATCCTAAGTTTTAAAGAAAAAATGTTAAATAAACTTAAAAAAATTAACTTAAAAATTTGATTTGATAAATAATGATTCTATTAAATACTTGTATAGGTATTTGATTCCACTAAATATTGAGAGTTACAATTAAATCAATTACAGATATATCTCAACTACATTATCAAATTAAATATTTAAATCAATTTTTTAAAATTTATCTAACATTGTTCCAATTTTAATAACACAAATTCAATATCTGTCCTCATCAGAAAAATGGAGGGCTTTGAAGTCCTATAGGCGTCGTAGGCGAGAGGTGATGAGGCATGTGGGGTTGAGACGGCATTCCCACATCCGTCCAACACCAGCTGGAGAGAGCAGGTCACCAAAATGTATGGAATCAATGCAAATTCTGACAGATTTTCTCACCCCCATTTTTCACCACTTTAATTGCTCTTTTAACTTGTTTACCGTTATGTTTCTTTACTATTAGTTCAATTGCCGGAATTGAGGATGGAGGGTTATTGTTTACTTCACAAAGGTAGTCCGTAAAATTGGTTCAGACTTCAAATGGGTCATTCTGCCAGAAGCCTAATCCAGATAGAGCTGATAACATAGTCGTGTCATATTAGTTTAGCTCATGATGATGCACAAATTAGTTTGCACACTATTAATTAAGTTGTAGTATAAAATACATTAAGTAGAAGGAGAGAGAAGACAAGATTTATAGTGATTCGGTCAATACGACTTACATCCACTTTAAATGGCTAGGTTTGTCGAAATTTTATTATCTCTGATGTGGAGGGAGAGCACATGATTACAAGTTTTGATAGGGGAGGAGAGAATTATGTTCAAATAAGTTTGATACCCNTATTATCTCTGATGTGGAGGGAGAGCACATGATTACAAGTTTTGATAGGGGAGGAGAGAATTATGTTCAAATAAGTTTGATACCCTCAAGTGTTGGGGAAACTTACAATTTATAGTGGCTTGACATAGTAATTGTATGACTAGTCTGACAGTCATAAAAGTTTCGGACCGTTTGATAATAATTAGGTAGTTGATCTGGCGGAGGCGACCTATCATCTTATCAACGGGCAAGGTGTGACGGTTGTTGTACTCTCCAAATGACTTGTTTAAAGATGAGGGAGTTTAACTCTTTCCAGGTTGCGAGGGTGAGGCTCCCGGATGCTCCCTTGGTAGTGAGGGTAAGGCTCCTAGATACTCCTTTGGTGGCGTAGAGGAGGCTCTTGGATGACCCTTACTCCAAGGTAGTAAAGGAGACCCTTGGATGACCCTTACTTCAAGGTGGTAGAGGAGACCCTTGGATGACCCTTACTCCAAGGTGGTCGAGGAGGTGGCTCTTGGATGACCTTGTCTTCTCCTTGCTGATATAGTAGCTCCTTGAATTTGATGAGTTTAACTGGATTGACCACATTGGGTTGAATTTATTGGATCTCTTGGAGTCGGGTTATAAACTCGAACCGGGCTTATAACACAAGTTGGGCCTTTGGGCCTGGCCCATCAACTAATAAATAGTTTATAAGTTATCTTTTATAGTAACACTAGTTATTTCTTGTATTTAAAGGCACGAAATAATAAAAAAATAGTCAACGATAAATATATTAAGCACCCATTGTAGTGGGGGTGAGCAGTGATAGTGGAGGTGGACGACAATGGTGGTGATGAAAAATGGTGATGATTATAGTGGGTGACGACGACCGTGGTGGGTGGTGGCAACGGTGGGTCGCAACGGTGATGGTGGTGGTGAATTTTGCGTGACGATAGTGATAATGACAATCATGAGTGAAGGCGGTTATGGTGGTGGGACGACGACAGTGGTGGTTGTGGACAACGACAGTGGTGGGCGTTGTCGATAGTGATTGTGGACAACGACGGGTGCTTTTTTAACGACAATGTGATAGATGGTGACGAATAGCAGTGTTGGTAGGTGTAGTGGGTGTGGGTGACAGTGGCTGGAAGCGATGGTGTGCAACAATGGATGGTGGTGATAATGGGCGATGGTGGTTGTGGTAATATATATACAAATGAGATAACAATGGTTGTGCGTGAACGACGATAGTTACAATGGGTGGTGGGTGACGATGGTGGTGGAGGTGGGATAGAGGTGGTGGTGTGGCGAAAGTGATGATGATGGGTAGTGGTGATGGTGGGATGGAATGGCGGCGACAGTGGTAGTTGTGGTGGTGGTGTAGTGGGGGGTGGTGGTAGAGTGGTGGTGGTGATGGGTTAATGGTAGGGACAATGTGGTAGTAGTGATAGTGGTAATATGGTAGTGATTGTGGTGGTGTGGTAGTGGTGATGGGGCAGTGGGTTTGGTGGTAATGGTGGGGCAATGGGGTGGCGACAGTGGTGGTGGTGATCGTTGTGGCAGAGGTGGTGGTGATAGGGCAGTGGTGGTGGTGGGGTGGTGGTGATAGTAGTAATGGTGATGGTGGTAGTAGTAGTGGTGGACCAGTTTCAAAAATTATTTTTTTTGTTGAAGTATTTATGAGAAGTTATAAATTCTAAAAACACTTTTAAAAAATTATTTCAAATACACCCTTAGGGATCTATTTTTCCTATTAAAATTGAAGTGTTAATATTAGCCATCGGATTAAAAAGATCTTAACCGCAAAAAATAAAAATTACTTTATTTATCTTTTAAGATTTGAATTATATTGTACTTTATTATATAGATTTATATTATATCATGCTCATCAAGTCATGTAAATTGTGGGTTCGTTTCGCATATTTTATTGATCGGATTTGATTGTGATTTTAGTTATTAAGATTAAATAAATAGCCAAATAATTTTAATGTTGAGCTCATATCGAACTAGCAAGTTGTGTTAAGAAGTGGAAATCATATTAGGCCATTAACCATCACGTAAGATAAAAAAGATGAGCGTAGCAATATGCCTAGGAATATACTAAAGTTTCTCTAACGTATGCTCCCAACTATATATGAAAAGGTAGTGTAGTGTTCTACAAACTCTGGTAATGGGTGCCCCACAGACAATCTGTGCCGTGTAGCTGTAGTTATCAAAGGAAATGCCACAATATTTATACTTGGGCAATTGCAGAGCAACTGTTTGTGGTTATGCCTATATGACAGCGAGCCTACAAAATGCAAAGGACCTAGTAATGGCTCCTAAAGTGAAAAAGAAAGCTCGGACAAGATACAATGAGTTGCAGACTAAGTAGATTTCGCACAAAGTTCATATCCCTGTACTTTTAAGAGCTAAAACATAGAGAAAGGAATCTTAATAGCCAATGCCATAATCACCACTTTCATGATATGATATGTAGTGGGGACAAACATTAACTTGTATGTTTATATGATATTTTTCCTCTCTTCCAACAGAGGTGGATGGTGAGAATTATTGATCACGAATAGAAAGAAAATGACATAAATTAATGAGCCCAATCACATCTGATTTTACCATGACCCTCCTCGTTTCCTTAGTAGTACTGCAACTATCCAAATCCTCTTCAACTTACATTTTAGATAGCTTGGATTTTAATAAGTCCATTTAGAGTTCACGGCTAATCAAATAATAATATTTGGTTTCGTCTACAAATTAAATCAACAACCTTACTCCAAATTTGATCGTTGTGGTTTAAAATTGGGAAGCAGAATCATAGTTGATAGCTTCACTTATTGTTGGTGCCATAGAA